GCAAGCCATCTCCCAAATCAAAACGCCCGGACGAGCTGCTTACACACCGTTTTCATTCTTGCAGCCAATGCCGTCGCAGCCTGGGGAAGGGATGTCCTGTGTGATGAGACGCCTTTCCATGCAGGGACTGCCTGCTGCGATGGTGCATCGCGCCCGAGTTTGCCTCGCTTGCGACGGCTGTGTTTTGAATCGCCCACAGATCAGACGGTCGAGAACGTTACGTTTCCATGCTCGCCCATCTCTCATGTTTGATTGTGCTTGATGCCGCCGGCTGCGGGACTGGGAGTTCGACGCCGCCGCTCGCACTGGGCATCTGTGCTGCGCATGCGGACGGCAGCCCCGCCCGATCGCCAGGGCACCTGAGGAGCCCAACCGCCCCAATGCTCCTGCCAACAATCTGGTGCCCATGCGCGGGTCGTGGTGCGACGTCGGCCCGCCTGCAGGGGACCCGTGCTCAGCCACCAACTCCAGGTTGTTCGTTCCGCTCTTGCACGCTGCGTGGGGTGCCCTGTCTTCGCAGGCCGCCGAAGCATGGAGCCATGATGAGCGCTGTCAGCCGTGGTGGGACGAGGCATGCCACACGCTTCGTCATTCGGCTGCGGTCCCGGCCACCCTGCTTCTGGATGCCTTGCGTGAGGCGGCTGCCCGGCACCACGTTCCGCCTCCCCAAACCATCCTCACCGCCGCCCGGGCCTTGCCTTCCGGAGCTGCGCTGCACTTGAGTCAACTCGCCACTCCCGACGGCTACATCCATGCAGGGGCACAGGAGGTGTGTTTGCAGTTATACGGGGGGCTCAGCTTTGGGTCGAACCTCGACCGCTATTCGGATGCGCTTCGCCAAGCCGACGCAGCACCGGTCCCTCCGGTGCCCGCCACCACGCGTCCTGCCGTCGACGACCCCGGTGCGCGGCCGTTTGATGGTGACGACGGCCTCAACTCGCAGGACGACGAGGTCGCTGCCGCTGTTTCGGAGCGCGCCCCAGGCGCTGGCTGCCCAACAACGGCTAGGGCGAGGTGGAGGGCGTCGTGGCCGCAAAGCTGGACGCGGAAGCAGGATCCAAGAGCCTCCGGCGCCGGTCGCCGCCCCATCCGATGCTGCGGTTGCCGCCGCTGCTCCGACGCAAGCTGAGCAGCGGGTGAGCACCGCCTGCGCGGGCGTGCGCCTCGGCCTTGGGCAGCTCGACGACCCCAGCCCTGCCACGGGCGTTCGGGTCGGGGCTTGGAGCTTGCCCCCCGAGCAGCAAGGGCTCGTCGTGCTCGGTGCGCCGCTCGGCACTGCTATCGTCACGCGTGACGAGGCCACAGGTTACCCAGTGTGCGTCCATTGCGTTCCAAAACAGCGGTGGAAACTGCAACAGCTTGGAATGACATGTACGGTGGTCTGAACCCACCTGTGCTTTGCTGTCGCACCGACAATGGGGGCGAATTTGATGCTGAGTTCGATATGCAGTTGAAGCAGCAGCGCATCCGGCATGAACGCAGCCTGCCACGCAGGCCGCAGACAAATGCGCGCGCAGAACGCTTTCATCGGACTCTTGCTGAAGGCATGCGCTCGCTTATGTTGATGAGTGGACTGCCATATGTGTTTTGGGCATTCTGTCTTGCAGCCTTTGTCTACCTGGATGCCCGGTCTCCTACCGCTGATGGCGGCGAATCTCCATTTGAGCGTCGTTTTGCGTTCCACGTGGCCTCTTGCAGGGCAGCCAGGGCGGGGGGCAAAGGGACTGGGCCGTCGAGGGAGCGCGCCAGCGTTTGAGCGAAGGCAGGGTCTCGACGTGCCAGGGCTGGCAGCGCGTCGGCCCAAGTTGCCCAGTAAGCCGCAACTGCATGGCGCTCAGTTCTTCTATGCAAACGGCTGGATTTTCCGTGATCGCAACGTTTCCTTGTTTTGATGCCATTGTTTCGCCAGTGGTTTGTTTCACGGCGGGACACAGAACGATTAATGCAGTGGTGGGACCATCCGGAAACATTTCATGGGATGACCCGTGGCATGAAACTCGTCACGCTTGGAACAACAAAGTTTTTTTTCCTGCGGACCTTTTCCCTCCAAAGTTCGGAATACCTGCCCTGAGAACTCGCTAACATTTTTTTTCCGGACTTTTATGCCTGCTGATCCGTTTGGTCGGCTAAGCGGCTCCAAGACTACCCGGCGGGCTTCAGCGCAGCGGCAGGCGACTCGGTCCGTCCGGGTCACCAAGAGCCAGTTAACAAATTGGAGGGGGTAGTCCTCGACAAGTTGCAAATTGGCCACTTACATTGCAATTTTTTTTTGGCCACGTGATCGATGGGTGATTCGTGTGCTGGAATGGCACCTGGGAGGCAACCGAGCAATTGGGAACATGCACTCATGATGTATTGTCGTCGGCGTCAATTGGGAAATCGGAAGTCCGCAGCTGTTGATTTTTTTGCTGTTGATTCAAAATGGTGGTTGCGACAAACAGATGATTTCATTCACGGGCATGAATCCGCCGGGCCTGGGAGGGCATTTTTCAAGCGCTACCCGAGCCTCCCCGCCCGACCCCCTGCACATCCCTGCACCGTAGGAACCGCCGGTTGCGTTGCTTCCTTCCGCTCTGCGTCCAACTCGCGGCGAGCCCTGCACAATTGTGACCTGGTGCACGAGCTGAGATTCCGCAGATTCGCCGACCGGAACAAAATCGAGCTCTGCGTAGGCGGGTTGGCTTGCGGGAAGTACGCCACGTGTGTAAAAGGGCTAATCGGCGCGGCTTGGATGCGAGCAGGCGCAGTGGGCCCCTGCGAGCACACTCCCCGGCCTCCGGGGTCCACGTATTAAGTTGTCATGCCACGCGCAATGAAGAGGATGCACAAGTGGGCCAGGAAGCCGTGTGTTGGCCAACTAGGGGGGTCCGTCTCTGTAGCTATGCCTGGGGGCCTGAGCGCGTATTGGTAAGGAGCACAAACCTGTTGGAACTCCTCGGCGTGAGTGAGCGTGTGGCTCACCAGCCTGCGGAAACATCTCCCATGCCCGAACGACGGCCGCTTCCCACTCGGAGTGGTCAGCGCCACGATACGTCTGCTGCAGAACAAGCACTCCCAGCGACGAAGCCCGGATGCTGGGACCGTAGCCTACCCGGTACCAAAGCATGCGTGGCGCGAGGAGAGATAACTTTCCGTCACGGATCGCTTCGAGTCCGACCCGCATCGTTCCGCAGCAGTCCGCGACCTTGGCGTACTCCTGCCTGGCGTCGCGGGGACTGTGAAACGTGTAGACCCGCCTCTCAACTTCGGCGGCCAGGTCGACATCGCGCAAACACCTCAGCCCGCTGATGTTGGCCCTTCGCGTCGCGCACGCCGGCCATGGGGTCGAAAAAAACTCTTCGGTTAGCCTCGCCCCTGTGCTGATCCATCCCGTTCGATTTGGCCGGCGGCTCAACACAAGAATGTATGCAAACTTTCAAGCGCCTCACACGCGTGCTAGTGGGAATTGTGTCCCAATTTTGTGCTTGAACCGAACCTGCACGCATTGGTTGTGGCCGCACATGAAGCAACGTAGTCTGCAATCGATTCGGGTTAATGGATGCGTGGAAAGCGGAGTAGACACAGACAACATTCACTTCCTCGTAAGCAGCTACGAACGTTAGCGCCATGGCTATGCTGGAAAAATGTCTGCGCAGCGGAGGGAGAAACGTCGCGTGAGGCTGGCAACTACACTCCCAAAGCTCGCATCCGCATGTGTCTCAGATACTACGGCAGTGAATGTGCGTTTTCATCCATGTCAGCGATATGACATTGCCTAAAGGAGGTGAGGGCCCGGTGGTGGCTAGGATGGCGGAGCAGCGGAGCACGATTCCAACGCCGTGGACGCCCAAAGAAGATTCTGTTTTTCATTCTTCGCACCTTTTTGCAACCTTGCAGCCTTGCAGCGCCAGTGGCTCCACGTCTACGAGGCCGCCGGCGCCAGCACAGCCGGCTAGGTGCGGCAGGGTAAGCAAGGTCCAGTACTTCGCTGAGCAGCATATATCGTCTGACGCTCCGGTACTGCAAAGCGATTGGAAGCATACGCCCCACGCCGGGCTCTAAGCCGAAGCTCCTTTATGGCACTCCACCGAAAAAACATCCGCTGCTCTTGCGGCCCTCACCAAGTTATCCTCCCAACAACAGTCGCTCCATGCCTCCTCACCCAACGGCTGAGAAAAGACTCGAGAGGCCAGCCCGGCAGCACGGCGAGGTCGAAGCCAGCCGTGCGGCTAAAAGCCTCCCGTGTGTCAAGTCGCGTTGGGGCGGATCGTGCTGCTTCGTGTCGTGCAGCCCAAGTCATCCGAGACGAGTTGCCAGGAAAACACAAAAGAGATAAAAGGGCACAGCGGGGGATCGGGGAGCTTGCTGACGGAGTCTACGACTGCGGCGTGTTTGAGGGACGGCAAGAGGGAACACGAAGCACCTCGTGGGCATGGCCAGGATGCCCTCGGCGACCGTGGGAGCCGTGTCTAAAGCGGCTGAGCGGCTCTCCACCGCGTGGCAGCCATCTAATGGGGGCAACCCCGTCGGCAAGCTTCGAGATTCAAGCCTAGCAAGGCACGCCTCGAGTGGGGAAGGGGCATCTGTCGACCTTGTTGCGTGCGTTGTCTTCGTCAAAGGTGAGGAGGTCAAACCACACTGACAACACCGCGTCAAGACGGAGTCACGGATGGGGTTGACAGCCTGTTGGGTCCCCTAAAAACTATACACTCCGTGGGAAACATTCCTTGTCATTGAGGGTACAGTGCCCCCCAAAAGGATGATGATTCAGAACAGCCCTCATGTATGCGCATGGAAAAACTCAGACTTCAGCTTTGCCCATCCCTACAGTAGAACACGAGTCGAAGCTGCGTTAACCGAAGGCTTGAAAGCTGCACTCTCCAGCACGTTCTTCCGATGTCCAAGGTAACATGAAACAGTCTGAAGCACCCCCCCCCCCCCCCCCCCCCCCCCCCCCCGCACACCCCAACAGCGCGAACATCCTCAACAAATCCTCCCAAATTATGCTTCGTCCGAAGCACCACGCACCTTCGACCGTGAGGTTTAGCTCCGTGTCTTCCTCAAGCTAAAGGAAGTTCGAATTTGAGAACTTGAGGATCGCGCTGTCTTGCGCCCAAGTCGGACAAGAGGGAACTGCAAAGTCCATCACGCGATCATGCACGGAAGCATGCTGGACTATGACGCTTCAGTGCATTCGCACCTCGTGAGCTAGCCGCTAGCGAACAGCAATCTACGGGCCAGAACCGAGCCCCCCCCCCTAACATCCCCCGAAACTCACGCATGACATCCACAGACCCAAGACAAGAAAGGAATACTCGCTGCCGCGGCCTTAAATGGCATTGCCTACTGTGGTCCTCGGAACAGTTCTCCAGGCGCATCAGCACCTGCAAGCAGATTCAATGTTATTGTTGATTCTGTGGTGGGCATGCTCCTAAATCATGCTCGAGAAATTCTACAACAAGAGAAGGGGAAATTCAAGCTTCTCTGGAGTACGGCACGGAGGCTGCAATATCTTCGTGTACAATGCAAAGGCTGCAAAGAACGCGCGAAGCTCTTCAGAGAACGCAACAGCCCAACTCAACGTGTCACACACACACACACACACACACACACACACACACATCACTCACAGAAGACACCAAAAGCCCTCAACGCTAAAACCTCCTGAGCTACTGCTACTGCAGCAACGACGATGCGACTTCTGCTACGAATGATTGCGTTCAGAACTGCTATACGGCTGCTGCCTCTGCGGCTTGCAGTTGTCTACTGCTCTTCCTGACCCTGGTGGTGTTGCAGCACCACTCATCCTAGGCAAATGCCTCGCCGGCAAACTCCTGCTTCTCGCCATCGCTGACCACAGCAAGGCACGTGCCGTCCTTTGGAAGAACGACTTGGAAATGGAGCTGGAGGATGTGCAAGGCTGCCAAGCCAGAAAAGTAAGGAGAAGAGCGGAGTGAAACATGGCCGTGCTAAGAACCACGACAACTTTTTCCAAGAGAATGCTAGCAAGCAGTACCGGTGCAACAAAGCAGTAGCAGCAGGATAGTGGTCGCAGTAGCACGATAAGTAGTGGTCGCAGTACTAGTGGTCCCATCATTCCCATCCCCTCCTCCTCGACATGGACCGCCGCACAATCCGCCCTCTTGCGGCACAGGGCGAGGCCTGGAGCGTTGCCCCAGCAAGCCGAGGGCTCTCTCCAGGATCCTCCCCCTGATCCTGTACGATCCCGTAGCGCTTGCGTCAGCCAATCAGCGGAGCACGGCGAGGTTCTTGTGAGCAATGATCTAACCTCTAATGAACAACTCTACAATAAGATACTCCCTATCATCAATCTACATGGTACCCACAAGGGGATCCGAACCTGATTCGAGCTGAGCGCCCAACAGGCGCTTTGTGACGGCAGCTTCTTCCAGCCGAACCATCCTTCGTGCGCCAGGATGTAGCACTCAAGCTTTTGCGATTGTAGGCTGGGATTTGGGGCTGACAAGGCTAACATAGGCACTCTTGGGGCAGATCCTGAGATGTTGGTCGGAACCCAGCACATGTCGTCCACCACGTCCACCGTGAGCTGTGCCACCGGCAGCACCTGGAGCAAACCCTTAGCAATCCTCAACACCCACACCAAAGGAACCCAAAGGAAGGAAAAGCAACTCTTGCTGGGGCACGCCGCTCTCGACGCTCTCGACGCATGTCACTGCCAAACTGGCAGCTCTTCTCGTGCATTAGGGGTCTACTCTACATTGTGGCGACACCCTCAACCCCACGCCGGACTCCCCGAACCAAGTGCGCTGAAACCCTCATGTCCCAGGAACGGCTTCCCATCGCAGACTTGCTACTGGTATCTTAAAGTCACGGTCCGGCCAGGCCTTGTCGTAGAGCTGGCCGCCGAGTGCCACGCTGCAGTTGATCTGAGCCACCGACTTTACCGCAGCAGAATCCGCGGCATACGACGTAGAGTAGCAATGATATCCCACAACAGCATAACATAAGCCGTCGTGTGGCGAGTCAACTCCCTTCCTCTTTTTTTCGTTTCTTTTTTTTTTTGGGGGGGGAGGGGGGGGAATTTAATTCTCTGCAACTTCACCCTCATTTCTGTCCCAGCCTGTAGCCTCCCACGGCCCTCGGCAGACAGGTCCAAGCCAGGAGTACCTCGAATCGGCTCTTCGTTCAACCCAAGAGCGCTTTCCATTGCGACCCTAGCCTGAACAACAGCTTAGGCTGATGAGTCCGGGATTCAGGGTTCTTGTCTTAAGCTGCTAAACTACCTCCCACTACACCGAACCTTACTACGCCTGCACTGTATCAGGCTATGACAGGCCCCAGATGCCCCAAGAAGGCCCCAAACCACCGGAAGCAGTGAAAATCCGGCGCTGAGCCCCGGCGTACCAGAGGCGACGCCCGAGGAAGGGTCCAGGTTGAAGGCCACCTCCCGGTCGGAACAAGGACTTTTCAAAGAGGGCGAGATGCAGAGCTTGCGATCAGTGTTTGCAGAGACTGCCGAGTTGTTGAAAACAGCATCATAGAGTAGAAGTCATCGAGTATGCTGCTTGTTTGTTACGTCTACAGAAGAGCCAACTGTAAAGCATGCAAATGACAGCCTAAGTTGTAGGGCTGCAAACGGCAGACCATCAATCCGGGGCTAAGTCTGCATGAAGATCAGGCTTTGGCCATCTCCTGTAAGAGGTCTACAACTTTTGCCATGTATGTACGAAGCACACAAGAGAGTTTAGGGTTCTGCTTTGAGGCTACCATGTCAAAGCCGACATCCCGAAGTCCAGCTCCTCACGTTTGCTCACTGCATTCATCGACATTCAGCAAAGCCACAAAAGCCGCAAGCCGCAAGTGCTAGCAGCAGCAACAAGTCAGACCAGAACTACGAAGCCCAGGAAGCTTCCGTCTGCTGAGCGAGTGCCCGTGAAAGAACTAAGAGAAACTCCGCGATGAGAACAATCGCCGGCCCTTCTACACGATTCGACACCGCTTGGTTGTAAACCCTGATCCATGGCCCTCGATTTGAGAAGGAGCCCGCCTTGCCGTTGCGGGTGATGTCGCCCGTGAACCGTGACCAAGCGTAGGTGGCATTGCTACCATCGCGGCACAGCACGTCCAAAACCTGCCCGGGACTCTCTCAGGGCTGATATCAAAGGCTCGTGGGTCCTGATGAGGATTCCCGTTGCCAATCTGGGTGGGAACTGGCGCTGCCGTGAGGCTAGAGTACGAGAATGTACGAGATGCATTGTTCGACCTTACTACCTTAGACTTAGGATGCAGCTTAGAATACTACAGCATGGGCCAGAGCCCACAAGCCTCAGGGGCCAGAGCAGGCGATGCCACGAAGCGCGCACCGGAGGAGATGTTCTCAAGGACCGGAAGCTTCAGGGACTCCTCCTCGTCCTCCGGCTTGCAGTGTGCACGTCTCTTTCCTTGAAGAGCTCCACAAGTGACACAAAGTACCACAAGAAATAGAACCCCTTCAAAGCACAGGAAGGACAGGAAGCACAGGAAGAGCCCAACACGCAAGGGAAGCTGCAGAAATTCAGAGCACCCTCCCTCAAACCCCACCTTCTTAGCACACCGGAACTCGGCACTGCCACCAAAACACGACCAACGACACATTCAAGGCTGAGAGGGGACCAAACAAACTCCAATCTGCACATCAGAGTACGGCAATAACATTACGAAGAAGAATGTTTCCGGGCACGCCTTTGGCAAAAAGGCTTGATGCTGAACTCTGCCAAGCCCTATCGAACCCTCATCAGGCTTGGCTTCAAAAATCCGCTCCGGCCGAAGGTGTGGTTGTGAGAACAGGCATCCCCTTTTTTTTGCCTGGAATGGGTACCCCCGATAGGCGACCACGATCTGAAAGTGGACGGTTCGCCAGGACCAGCACCAGTTGAAGCCCCGCCCCTGCCCCCCCCCCCCCCTGCCCCCCCCCCGCCCCTGCCCCCCCCCCCGCCTCCTGCCCCCCCGGCCCCCCCCGCTGCCCCACTGCCCTGCCCCCCCTCCTGCCAAACCGTGAAGTGTGAGCCCCCAAAGCCTGCAACCCTAAACTAAAAAATCAACCCTGAACCCTAAACCATAAACCCGGAACCCTAAACCCTAAACCCAACCCTCATTGCTTGGGGTCCAGCGACTTGGGCGCTGCGAAATCACCATGCGGGCTGGGCCGGGTCGAGGCGGGTCGCGTAGCGTTAACATTAGCGCCCGCTGCTGGGAAACCCAGGCCGAGGCGGGTCGCGCGTAGCGCTAAGACTGATTGAGGACGCCCAACTTAAAAAGGGTGAACCCCCCCACAAAAGTAGGGGGAGCCCCCTGAGGTGCAGAGGCCCCTTGGCCAAGGCATTACTTTGGAGTGTTCTCCGATGGCTCCTCGAACCACCGGAAGCCTGGGATGTGCTCCTGACGGCATGAAAGAGATGGAGGGCTCTGAGGGTTTTGGGGTTAGGGTTTAGGGGTTTGGCTCTTTAGGTAGTCTCTTAAGCGCGGAGAAGGCTCGGGCTTGGAAGTGTATGGGCTTAGCCATGTTGGGATCCTCACGAAGCTGAGTCTAGAAGCTGATAGAAGCTACCCCCCGCAGGAGCCCTGACTTGGCAGGACTGATACGCTAACACTTCCATGCATGAACCATAACAAAAAAAGTCGATGCCTTATGATCAAAGGTACCCCAAAAAAAATCTCAAGCCACCCCCAGCGTGAGCGAGCCCAAAAAGCATGCGGCCTGCAGGGGTGAGATCTCCAAGGCCACCCCATTGCGACCATGAAGCACCGGAACCTGCGAGCAGTGGAGTCCTAAACTGAACAGTGTACCAAACTGTCGTACTGCAAAAGACAAGACAAGAAAAGCAAAATATGCTACACTAAACTGGAATAGAAGAGAGCGCAGTAGGGCACAGTATAGCGCAAAGTAACAGGGTCATGCTTTTGCAGCACGCGGCCAAGCCCGGCATTGCGCCGATTGACTCTCCCCCTAAATACCCTAAGAGCTAATGCCACAAGTTCCCTACAGTGTTAACACGTCTGGAACCCGTCTTACTACTACCTTCCAAAAGCCCTTATCTACGGAATATACCCGAATTCATAATAATGATCCTGAGTAGAAATTAGGGTATATTGCTCAAGGGGTTTTTGAAGATCTGGGTAGATTTACTATCAGCTCCGATAAATTCCCCCCCCAGTCGCTGAACGCCAGCGCCTTGTAGGCGCCGGCCTTCCAGAGCCGTGCCTTCGCAGCATCGCATCTTTTGCCCGACCCGTTCTTCTCAGTCATCTCCTTTTTTTTGGTTACACCTTCAGGGTTTGTTAACGTTAAAAAACCCTAGATATCCTTTTTTTGGGTTACACCCTGAATCAGGGGAAAAAGCAGCAGCAGGCTTCATGGAAGCAGTGGCACGCGACAAGATTCACATAACCGTTCGGGACTTCACAGCATGTCAGTGGAGGCTTTTACCAACCAACACACACACACACAAAACCTAAGCAGCTTCCTGCCCACCACACGGCCACGACTACTGCTTCTACTGGTGCTTCCTCTTCTTGAACGATTCGAAACACTGTGGAAAGTACATGACTCCATCAACTCAGGGATTCGTCGATTGAAAGGCCACACTCTTGCACAATCGCAAGATTCCTAAACCCTTTCTCTTCCCCAAAACCCAAATGGGGTTTCCGAAAATCAGGGGCCCATAATACAGACTCCAAATAGTAGGATCCCCTTATCAGAAGGACCCCAACAAGGCACCCCTAAACCCTTTCTTGCAGCCGGACTGAGGGCGTTGCCGGAATACTGACTGAGGGCGCTAAACCCTAAACCCTCAAACCTAAACCCTGAAACCCCAATAAGCTACCCCGAATTTCGGAAACCCCAAATACACCAGGCCCGAAACCTGAACCCTGCCTGTATCACATTGAAGCTGGTCGTTTCCTCGCTGACGACCTGTTGCCACCTCTTTGCGTATGAGCATTGGGGTCTAGGGTTTAGGGGCTAGGGTTGCTGCGTGAGCGTGTCAGAAAGCTACCCAACATTTTGCGGAACAGCTTCTGGGTTTCGGAGTTCCCATAGCATTGCCAGGCAAAAAAGAATCTACAAGCCGGTCTCCGAACGACCTTGATCACGACGGTTCTGTGTCTCCACAAATTCTTAACTTGGCTGCACTTAGGATTGTAGCTATAAACTAAATTTTTAGCTGCCTGATTAAGAAACCCAATAAACCCAAAAAGGCTAAGGATCTAAAGTTACAGTAAAGCACCACAGAGAAAAGGGACTCCCAAAATACTTTGGACCTGGCCTGTGCCTCCCTTCGCGTTGCCAGTGGACCTGCTCAGCCGAGACCTGGCGCAAGGGAGTCGCAGGAAGTTCTGGGATCTTATGGATGTTTAGGGGATGTCTGGGGGAATACTTGGGGGTGTTCTAGAGGGGCCCCGACAATCCTTATAGGGGCCCCTGTGTTTGAGGCCGCGCAGAAGTGAGAAGTGGGAGCAAAGGTGAGGGAAGCCAAGATGCTGCATTCCTCCGGAACATCTAGGGTTGATAGGTGGGACCGGGATGCTTAGTCCTTCATAGGGATTATCATAGGACGACAATCCCTACTGTTAATGTAAAGGGGGAACATCCCGGATTTTCCAGAATTTCGAGGGGCCTCCCGAAAACCTCCCCCCCAAAGCCCCCCCAGATGTGAGAGGCCCATATGGCCTCGCAGCTGCAGGAGGGCATCCCACCCTCGCCGGCCAAAGAAGGGCCCTGGACCTGGAAACTGGAAGGGTTCACAGGAGTCGCACCTGACAACCCCAACCAAACACCTAGACCTGGAACCAGGGGCGCAGAAGACGGAAGAGGGAGGAAGGGGAGGGGGGGGAGGGGGGGGGGAGGTAAACTTTTGGGTCCCGGATCCCTTTTTTTTTGGGGGGGGGGGGGGGGGGCTAGCATTGGAGCGTAACTACAGTGGGGGGCTTCAACTTCAGCACAACTGGATGGACACATCACTGGCAGCTGCTGGCTGTCTTTCTGTCTGTCCGTGTGTCTCTCTGTGTCTCTCTGTCTCTCGTGTCTCTCCGCGTCTGTTGTGCCTCTTTGTGTCCACTCTGTTTGTCTCTCTGTGTGTCTCTGTCTGTCAGTCTCTCTGTCTGTGTCTCTCTGTCTGTCTCTGTCTCTCTCTGTCTGTCTGTCTCTCCGTCTGTCTGTCTCTGTCTGCGTCTGCGTCTGCGTCTGCGTCTGCGTCTGCGTCTGCGGTCTGCGGTCTGTGTGTTTGTTTCAAAGGGAGAGAGGACTCCACGTGGCCTCCATGGAAGCCGGCAGAGGCCCAGCCATCAGCTCACCACTTGGGAGCAGACGGAGCCACCTCTGCTGTTTTAAAGCGACGACGAAACCGCGCCGGACGCCTCTCTAGATTCTGCAAAAAAACAAGAAAAGAGGGCTTCTCGAGCGCCCAGGCGCGGGCAGTTGCAGTGCAGCTGAAACTTCTCCATCGTGTGGCCAGAAGGCAGTTTCATCACGTGGACAGGGAACGCTTTGTTCGCCGGCTCCGGTTCCAGGCCCCAGTACTTGAAGACCAAAACCTGATCTCCATAGGACATCACACCCACGGGAACCTGCAGATCCACGGTGGTAAAGAGCCCGCGCATGGGATCCTCCATGAGCACGAGGGAGCACTTGATCTCCGTGGCTTGGGACTTTCCTCCACTGGCTTCAACGTTGCCATGGATCCTCCCAGATCCTTCGAGTTGGAGCTGCCACGTCGCCAGGTCGCAACCACTGACCTCCGTGCCCAAAGGTTGGGGCTCCGGGAAGTCGTTGATGGGGTCACCGTTCACCAAGGCCCTCCGTGCCAAGCTCATGGAGCTCGGCGTGGGCTGCACGCTGCCGCCACCGCAGGCACAGCAGGCTTCGCTGGGCCGAAGGCCGTGAAAGGCCTGGTCATGGCCATCCTCCACTGAATCCCCCACGAAGCGGCAGTAACCCTTGGACTCGTAGTCCTGGCAGGTGAGGCCCTTGGAGTCTTGCCAATCAGGAATGCTCTCGCACAGGAAGCACTTGGTGATGTTCAAGATCGGGATCTTCTGGTGGACGTAACCGGCAGCACACTCCTGGCAAAGACCATCCTTAATTTTGCGACACCCCCCGCACTGCTCGGCAGCATCGCAGCACGTGAAGTCGTAGGCATCACCAGCGAAATTGCCAATAGGCATCTGGCCCGGTGGACAGCTGACCCGGTTGGGCAAAGGTTTCTCCTCCCTGGCTTGAGTCTGCTTGGCACCCTGAAGTATGGACGATGCCATGAGCTTCTGGGGCGCAGGGCGGGCGCATTGCTGGAACCGCACGCCCGGCGTGGACCAGGCTGCACCACCTCCAGCCTCAAAGGCCGGCCCTGCAGGCCGAGCTAGCTCCACAGGCGTTCCAAGAGGGGCCAGGGAACCGGGCTGCTCCACGTCTGCCTGCAGCCACCGCTTCTGCAGAGCGCAGGTTGAGTCCTCCCCGGCGCTCGCGGCGCTCGGCCAAGCGAAGTGGGCAGAAGCAAGGACGAAGAGCACTGGCGTCATGGCTTTCTGAATCAAGAGATCGACTCCCTGTTGAACCAAAAAGGCTTCAGGCACATAGGCAGATTGTGCAAGACCGCTTCCTCTCGAAGTGTGGTAACACACCCCCTCCCCCCAACGAACCCAGGTCTGAGTAGCGGCCACCCACGTGTACACGAGACTGTGGTCTACAGAATTGTGGCCTGGCCCTGTTGCAGGTTGAAAAGGGGTTTAGGATTTAGGGCCTTAGGGCTTAGGGCCCCGGAGCTTATGCATTCAAGCTTCACAAGGTTCTCTCCGCAGGATGCATGAAGGCCTCGTATCTTCCCAGGCTACAGCACTTCAGGCTAGGAAGAGGTGGACGGACTTAGATGAAGCCGCGCAGGTTTTTGACGCATCCTGCTTAATTCGGCTCAAGCAGCGAAAGGCTAATCTGCATTGAAAAAGCGGGAAATGAGCAGACCCATGCCCGAAACCCGGTGTGCTCACAAATCGCACTGGACTCGCACTTTACACTGGTAGACCTGGTAGACCTTGCGCTGGGCTTACGCTTGACAGCGCCACGTGGTGTCACCGCAAACGCCAAGTACCCTTCAGACGCAAGGGCAGTCGGAGCTCAGTGCTCGAGTCCTGGCATCAACCCAACGTCAACGTCATCGGAGTGTTACCGAGGAGTCTGAGGAGCCACTTCACAACATGATTCCGTCAGGCTCCTGGATCCCCAGAGCCCTAAGCCGCCAAGCCGCCCAAGCCCACACAACTCCAGATCAGTTAACAAGGCCGTTCCAACCCCCGGAATCTTTCAACTTCAGACCTTCAGACCCCACCCCCCGCCTGCGCACCCCACAAAAGAGTACAAACCAAGCCATCCTACCAGCTGCCATGCTACAGAGTGAACGGCTTGTGGCTTGCAGGACGTGGTGAAAGGCCCTACGCCGTGAGCCAGCCCTTTCCTGCCTGACAGCTGCTTCCTTAACAGCTCAACACCGAAAGTGGCTTAGACCCTTCCGGAAAGGATTTGACCAACGTACTTTGCGACGGAGCTTGAAATCTGTCCCCGAGGGCTTGGGATGTCCAGATCAAAGGCCGGACTGGAGTTCAGGGTTCGGGGTTTCAGGGTGAGCCTGTCGCAGGTTTGAGGTTTGTTGAAGCTTTTGCGTTTTTGGCAGCTGCGCGCAACACCGATGCAACATTGCTGCTCGGTAGCAGGTGCTCTTCTAGCACTGCTTATACCTTATACGCTTTGTCCCATCTCCACGGATTCGGATACCCAAGCCTTTGCCCAACTTCCCAGCTGCAGCCCTTCCTAAACGTGCCCTTCCTAAACCCCTACCCTTGTTAAGCTCCTAAACGTACCCTTCCTTAAACCCCTAAGCTCTTAAGCTCCCAAACGTGCCCTTCCTAAGCCCCTCAGCTCTTAAGCTCCAACAAACGCGTCCTTCCTAAACCCCCGAGCTCTTGAGCCCCTAAGCGTGCTCTTCCTCAACCCCGAAGCTCCTATGCTCTTGTCAATGCTGTGAAAAGCAAAGGACGGAATCACCCCCTCGTTGCGCAATGTCAATGTTGTGAAAACCAACCAAAAAAAGGAATCAACCCCCCCCCGGTTCCCCCCGCCCTCGCTGTGGTTTGTCAATGTCACTGTAGTGACGAGGTAGTTGGTAGGAGGGGGGCGGCTCCTCCTCCTCCTCCTCCACCACTCGCAACATGCCAGTTTCTTCCCTACAAAGCCATTCGGTCCTCGTAGCCGTGGAAGATCGCCCAGTCGGCATGCCTCTGTTCTGGGCGCAGGCCATGATACAACAGCAAGCTCTGAGCAGCTGCGCGTGCTAAGCCAGCATGTCAACTAGTACGAGAACACAGTATATCTACCCATCCACCTGTCTATCCATCTATCCATCCGAGCGGGTTGGGGATCTCAACAAATGTAGCTTTAGACGGGCCTTTGCTGTTTGAGGTGTAGCGCTACGGCTACAAGGATCAGAACTTTGGTATCGGGGAGCTTCGGGCGAAGAATCTTGGGCCGGTGCTGCCATGCTCGCGTCGCGGCTCTGGCGACGCTCCTACTCCATGTTGGCATCTTGGGACTTGGTCGTCCGCGCTGAAGAGCTGGCTTAGCTTGGGTCTCTGCTGGTTCATGCTGCCTGGGAATCTCTGAGCCATGTGCACGCCACTTCCAACCAGTCAAGCGCTGCAACAACTTCTCAGAGCTTCATGGCAAAGGATGCAGAAGACCTCTGCGCGCTTGTAAGCTGCAACACATCTTGGCGCGACAAGCGGCACAATCGTCTCCGATTAGGAACGCCGGACCTCCAGGAAACCTGAATTTCTGCTGAATCTCTGCTGAGTCCCTCATCAAACAAGTCCGCTGCAGGAAAGGGCAAACAGGGCCCCTTACCCTTTGAAGAATGTACTGTACCTTGACCGATGTTGTCTTTCCTGTGCTAGCGGACTTGTAGACATGACGACTTTGTCCGGGACTCGCGAGCATAGTGAGCAATGGAACTGCCAGTCGTGCCCCCCCACTGGGAAAATGGGGGTCAGATGACACAGTGCAAAATGTACAAAACAAGAGAATCTAGGATAAACCCTAATTCGAACAAAGCAGAATGACACAAGAAAAAGCGGTGATTCTGTAATTCACCTACACGAAGATCATGTACGGTACTGCATCGAAGCACGTGGCCTGCTCAGTAGGCAGCAAAACATCATTAGCGACCGCTTGAAAAAGTTTTGCTCGAGAGCATGCTGAGCCATGTTCCACGAACCCAGCTATGATATGCTCTCCAGAGCTCCTTCGGCGGCCTTCCGCGGCTTTCCGCGGGAGAACAATGGAACATTGACGGAACACAGAAAAAGCCGAAGCCGCAAGTGCCAAGCTGCAAAGCAGGCTTCAGCTGTATAAAAGCAGTTGGACCGGATGGAGGTTAGATGTACGCCTGCTGCGTGTCCTCACACAACGAACGGGGTTCCTTCCTTGAACCCGAAACTCCACCAGGTTCTGCTGCGTTGGCCATGGGCTCTTCTGTGCGGACATTGCTTGGAGACAGGTCGCCCTCGCTGGGGCTTTTGGGACTTTGGCCGACCTCGGCTTCCTTGGCTGTCTCTGCTTCTGTTGCTTCTGTTGCGCTCGGCACGTTCTTGGCAGGAGGATTCTGGGCTGGCGGTGGCCCGAAGGAAGCGGAGCTGATCCGGAAGCAGAACCTGCCCACGAGTCGATGTGTCACATGCACAACATTGCACAACTGTACCCCCATCCTGCCCTGGCGTTGACGAGAAGTTCCGAAGCGTCTACCTAACAACTAAGCCCTTTCGCTCCACCTCTTCGCCGTCTGATCGGCATCGGACTGAACGACCTCTGTGTCGAGCAAAGACACCGATGCCAGAAGCAACTTGTTGTCGTAAACTCCCAGCGCCGACAACGCCCTCGCCAGTCCTGCGCGATCCATCTCTGCGATCTTGGCTGACATGGACTGCAGGGTTTCTGCAACCAGGCTGGGCGCCGGCGTCCTCATCAAGATGCCACTTAAAGACACCCACAATGAACCTGAAAAAACTGACGAGGGGATGATGAGACGGCAGAAGTGAAGCTGTCCCCAGACTATATGGCATGCTTTAGCAGAGGCCTTGCCGACCTAACCGAAGAACACTGAAAGCCTGGAAGCCAACGGCACCCCAAAAAAAGTTAAAAAAAGAAAGCAAAGAGTATCAAAGAGTCCTCTGGAGGTTGAAGGCGATGAGCTCCTTCTGCCCGCCAAGCGCCGCCCGGAAAGTCAAGGCACAGACGGTCATGACGAAGAGCAAAGCGACGGCGGCTCCCATCATGCCCATGATCACCGAACCCGCTGCATCGGCGAAGTCCTTCATGCTACCCTCGAGGGCGCCCAGGTAGAATGAGTTCGCAGCCACAAGCATGGTGATGCAGAAGCCAATGAAGCAATCCAGCACGTTCAGAAGCGGCACCTTCCATGGCCAGGAATTCGACTGGATGATCAGTACGACCAAGAACACGAGCATCACACACATGACCTGGATGGGCGGATAGTCCGTCGCCAGCGCGATCGGGAGGGACATCAGCGGACCCCGCAACAGCAAAAGCAATCCAAACCACCAGGAGTCCAGCCGAAAGCGGAAGAGAAGGAATCTGAAGGCTTTCACATTTGCGTGCTGCCCATCCCTGCTCCATCTCGGCACCACGATCACGGCATAGGTGCATGCCGCCAGGAAGCCCATGACGCCCAGCAGGAGGAGCAGCACACCGAAGATGAGCATGACGGTGTGATCCTGCAAAGTGAGAGTTTGCGCACATCTTCGCAATACAGTTCTGAAGAAGGCGCATGAAACTAGGTTTGTTTTTTGCTGGACGGACCTTCCTCCTCCAGACAGAACCCAAGATGAAAGCTGCTTCCCACTGGGTGCTATTCTAGCTGCAGGCTTGCATGTTGAGCAGACTGAGCACACAGCAGCTTTGTTCAGACCACAGGCTGACAGCCCGCTACACCCATGAAGCCGGCACAAGCCAACCCGAAGCTACTGAATCGAAGAGTCACCGGCACTTGTGGCAGAGACCACAATTGTAATGAAACCTTCGGAAGGCCCACCCGACTACTGCAGAGGGCACGCAGAGGGCAGGAGCAAGGTTTGGGGTCCCACATGCAAAGGTGGTCCTCCGTGCCACAGGTGATGCTGGGGTACTTCAAGAGGCTGAAGACGCCATTCGGGTGACTGCAGGGAAAGAACATTCTTGAAGCTCCAGAAGCTGTTCTCTAGGTTCATCTCTAGGTTCTTACTACTGAGGCAAGATATTCACCCCCCCAGAGGGCCTGAAGCACATCATCGGTGCCATGGAGATGGTGCTCATCGTGCTGAAGGAGAGCTGGAGCAGGGCCCCGATGGTGCTCTTCGCCTTGGCGGCTTCCCATCGCAGCTTCTTGGGCGAGAGCTTGGAGATGTAGTAGCAGCACACGAGCCAGCCCACAGCACCCGGGAAGACAAGAACCGACACAATGTAACGAGTACTGGCAGAACCACCAGCGACGCAGCTGAAAGCAAAGTTATCGAAGTCCAGCAGAAAGACCTGAAGAAATGCATAGATGGCCTTCATAGCTTCGGGAACTTGAACAGTCATCGTCCCAATGATGCCGACGGATTGTAACGACGAGATGGTCATGCCGAACGCACACGTCGTTGTAAAAAGCACGGAGGCCTTGGCCGTGCTTTGAGCAGTCATCATGTAGTAGACCATGACCAGGCCAGACAACATCACCGCGACTGCGAGGACCCAGCCGAGTTGCTGCCAGGGCGTGCACTCCTGGCACTGTCCCTCAGACCTGTCCCAGTGCCTTCCGCTGGGGCAGTCGGTGCAGGCCGTGTTGTTCAGCAGCCCCGTACAAGTTGCAGGGATGCCACCTGGACAGCGGGTGCCTGCAGCAGCCTCGACGCAGCGATACAGGTCCAGCGGCTCCGCCATGTTGCTGTAGAATCCGGGCAAGATGCTCGCCACGAACTCCGGGCCAAGGTCCGAGCTGCCGGACACAAGGCCGCGCAGCGTGGCCAGCGCTGGGCAGTCCAAGCCTGTCACACAACGCATCTCTTGCTCTTTTGCTCTCACTTAAAAATTTAACATTTGAAAAAGTACAATACAGATAATAAGAAGAATGATAATAAAGATCCCATATCCTGGGCCAACGGTCCCGGCCTTCCCCGCACTCGACGCAGCTCAGGTTCGTCGTGCTAGCTGAGGCATCAATGAAGCCCCTCGGGCAGCCGCAGTCCTCAAGTGACAAGGATCCCAAGCCGAGGGTCGTGCCACCTGGGCAAACCTTGCAGGTGCTGGAACCTGGCTCATCCTGGTACTCACCGATTTTGCAACGATTACATGCTTGACTGCCGGAGTTGTTCTGTGACTTCCCAAGTTCGCACGGTTCGCACTGCAGGGCTGCACCCGATGCTTGGCTAGTTCCAGGCGCACAGAACTCGCACACATGGGTAATTCCTGCGGCGTCATGCAACTGAGCTGAATACCTTCCGGACACACAAGCACGGCACTCCAAGAAGGTCGGGTCTGCGCGTGTGCCAGTAAAGGCCGCTTGCGTCGTGTCGTAGAGGCCGAAGCCGGGGGAGCATTTGGTGCGGTCCGGCAGCCAATCCTGCCAGCTAGGGTTCGACTGCAACCAGCGGCCTTGGTTGTCGAACCCTGACTCGAGCTCTAAGCATCGCACCCCGAAAAGGACATGCTGACATGAAGTTGCCCTCAAGTCTGTACAACTTTGACCAAGTGACACGCCACGGTCGCATAAGAGTCCCCGGTGTCTTGCATGTCCTTCAGCATGTTCATGACATCGTTACGGCCTAATCTCAAGTTCCGCACGAGGTCTTCCACCGAGGGCGCTAAGGTGACCAAGTCTTGGCTGACGATCTTGGTAATGGCGGTCGATGCAGCCACAGTGCGCTTGTCGCCACTGGTGTATGCACGGAAGTCATACGGAGGAAACACGATCTCGACTGGATCAAGATCCAAAAACGTAGTATCTGGAACCCACCAGTAAAAGAGCATATTGACGTCTCGAGGTAGTGTCGACCATGATCTTGCAACCCCAATGGCAACAGGCATGTCATAGCTGGTAACCTTTTGCATGATGTCATCCACACCCCAACCCGTGCCACCAGTAACATACGGCACGCACCGAGTCGAATCGTCGCGGCAGGTCGGAGAGAGCCAGAAGTAGTCGTCTGGACAAACGGCGGCAAGCGTGCCATCAGGGAGCGTCTCGACACCCGCCTCGTCACCTGCCACTTCTCGCCAACATGCCTATGGCTGAACCTACACAATGACACCACGCCCACTAGTGCATAGCTCTACGGCGTGCCCTGCCCTTGTTCGGCACCCCGCCTGTGATTCGCAGATAGATCTGGTTCGCTTCTGTCGACATGAAGCGAGTCTGTGCACAGGGCACCAGCAAGCTGCGGCTTATGGAAGCGAGGTCATCGAAGTACTTCGACGGCTGGCTCCAGGACATGTTCCATCCTCGGTAGAAGTCCAGCACAGTACCACCCTCGTGGTAAGCCTGGCGCCGCACCGACTGGCGGATGAAATGTGAAGAGACGCCCTCGTAGCCCATGCTGCCCACATCCACAGGAGCCATGGAGGCGTACCGACTTTGGATGAGCTTCCACTCATTCTGATAGCCTTCCGACCATGCCTCGAGGTTGATGTGGTTGTAGGTCACCGGCTGACCGCATCCCCTGTCGCTGCTGTTGCCAGGGGCCTTGCAGCCCAGGAGCGCGTAGAAGCAACTCAGGGTGTCAGGGCCGGGGCCCGTCACCTCAGCATGGAAGCCCATCCGCTCCTGGAGCCAAAGAGATGTCTGAACAAGGCGCATGATCTGTATGATTATACATACATATCTATATATATATATATACATATAATACTTCCCTGAAATGTGTGTATACATATATGACTTCTTGACAAGTCCGGCAGCAAAGCTCTGTCCTCGACGATGATCTTCAGCAGGTGGCTCGTGAGGAAGGATGCATCCCAGTTCCCGACATAAACGCCCATGGGGTAGGACTCGCCGTAGAGATTGGTCAAGTACTTCCGCTCGGCGATGTCAATGGCCTCTGGCAGGCACGATGCGCCTGCCTGAGATGGGAAGAGAACGGCCACGAGCACCAACCATGCCATGCTTGCGGACACCGACTTTCGAGACGATCCGGGCACGAGCCTGAAAATCCTCTGTGAATGATCCAGTTGAATTACCTTGCTATGTTGTCATGGACATCACTGTTCAAGGAGGAGATTAAAAAAATCGTATGCTGACCAACTATCTCTGGCAAGACAAGCTCGGACAGCTTTTTCCGTCGCCACAGCAGGCTCCAACGGTAGCTACTGCAGAAGACCTGAATACTGGTAAGGGGGGTTCTGAAGTTCTGCCCTTCGCAGCTGTAAGAATTTTCGGGTGCTTCAGCGCAGAAAATGCGTCGGCAAGTAGACGATGGAAACATACCCGGATCAAGCTGACGCGCAGGTACGTGCAAGAATACGCATGACCCAGGTACAACTGAGCAGAGAAAATACAAATGTGCACCACACACGTTGCATACACGAATTGCATAAGATTCATCGCATGAATCCATGGGTCTCCTTCACTAAGGACCATGCCGATGAAAACGAGCACGTGCAGTTGAACAAAGCTCCACCTCACCCATACAAAGATCAGAACCTTCCGGTATCATGTCATATCATACTGTACCATACTGGACATGAGTTCATATTCCCCATGCAGACTGACATGTGGAAGCATGTGCCTGCCTGCAGCAAGTACGTAGCGCAAGTGCGTTGACATGCATTTACGGTTGCATTCGTCCAGCCATCCGTCCGGGGTCTTACGGAATGGCACACATGGCCAACGGAAAGTAGCTCCTCGCAGTTAAGTTCTACATCTGCGAAAACAGCACCCGTTTCAACACCTACCTAAATAGATGAATCGACGAGGGAACACAGGCAGGTCGCAGGTATTCAGGCCGCTGCAGTGAAGGGATGTGCTGCCCTCAGCACAAGTATGTCCAAGCTGGCCCATCCAGGAGTTTTGACCTGGTGCTCTTTAGGGGGGGCGCTCTTTACGATCGTAGGGTTTTGGGAATGTCGGGGCTGGCCACAAAATCTCGAAGCCCGGAATACTTTGCGCAAAGGTACAATGGGCTCACAGATTTAGATGAGAAGCCTACGCATCGGAATCTCGTGCAGCAAAGGACGCAAGAGGGCCATGCAGGAAGACCCCTAAACCGCGCAGCGCTCAAGGCAAACCGACCCGAAACCCAACACAAAAACTTCTTGAGAGGTCCTGTCACTGCCTCCATGGCATGGTCCGCATGTTGACATGCTTTGCTGTATCCCTCGTTGATGGGCTGGGCTGCAATTGCTATCTGGCCAACCACTCATGTGCGACTACCAGATCTGCTCATTTCTGCTTGTCATTTTGGGGTCACTTGTGACTATAAATTTCTCTCATGTGTGACTGTTTCTTGTTTTCCTGTCAGCTCACAAGGCTAAAAGTTTAAAAAAGCGCAGCTCCTGCTCGAGAAAGGACAAGATTTCTCACGTGTGTTTTTCGCTTCTTAGTGACTTACGTGGAGGGTCCCGTCTTTTTTGTTCCAGCGTCAACATTCCTAAACTGAATGCCTGTTTCGGACATGTACTGCCAAAACCCCTCGCTGGAAATGTTCACAGCTTCACACTAGTCCGTTACGGATGCACGCTATGCTCTGAATGTGGGAAAAACACTGCACGCCGCTTTTTCATACTGGCAGACAGCGGAATCCGATCGCTTGCTTTTCGGCACTTTGGTGGGCCCGCCTTGGATCCTTCTTTGTACGGGGTCTACATCTTTTGATTTTCATTCGGCATTCTCTGATGCTTTACGTTGATGACTTCCTTGTCACCCAGGATGCAGCTACCTTGGATGCCACAGCTTCTCTTGTCCTTGCTTTTTGTGTGTGCTTCAACATTCCCCTGAGTTGGAAGAAGTTGCTTGGGCCCCAAGTGGTATGGATAGGCTGGTGCATTAACGTCCGTGCAGGTTGCTTTTCGATCCCACGCAACAAGCGACTTAAACTGCATATGCATGTTGGGAAGCTGGCACAAGCGAGATTTGCACAAAGTAACGGGTCTTATTCAGTGGGTATTGGGTGCCTTCCCATTGCTGTGTCCGTGGGTTGGTGTGCTTTACAAGGACTTACATTGTCCCCCAGCTACCAACCACAGCCTAGATCCACATTATTTCCAAGAGGTTTATGATTGCATCGATGACCAGATGCTTTTCATTCGTGCCCCTACAGGTACAGCCATTCTTGTGGGAGCTAAACTCCTCGAGGTCAGACAATTTGCCTATTCGCCAGAAGAAAGATTTGCGGAAGGACGTCCTTTCTAGCAAGCGAGTCTGGGTTAGAGTTGCAGACCCTGCTCAAGTCAAACGCAAACTCTCCGCCAATAGTATTGCTTTTCTTCAATTTTGGTTGCATTGGTGCAAGCTTCCGACATTGCTCCGCCCTTTGCAGTTTCCTGCCAGAACTACGATGGTAGCAGCGGCGGATGCGATGGGCTCTGGGACCAAATTTGCAATCGGTGGCTTTATCAAACTTTCGACATCCACTATTTGATTCAGTGAATGCTTCCAACTGGCAGACTTTGCTTTCGCAGGCATAGAACTCAGTGCCAATGCGTCTAACAACATCTCCTGTTACGAATGTCTGGCACAGATAGCATTACTCCACTGTGTGTCTGCGGTTACACCCGGTGGACGAATGGCAGTTCGCATTCCAAGCTGGACAGATAGCACTGGTGCTGAATCAGTCAGCAACAAGCTGTTCACTTCTTCGTACCCAGTGGGAGTACTTGCACAGAGGCTGGCGCTTTTTAGCTGCTTTTCAGGCCTCGAATTGGACACCACGCACATTTCTGGGCCCAGGAATGAATTGGCTGATTGGCTCTCCAGATGGAATGGTTGTGACAACTTACCCTCTGGTATTTTGCCACAGTTTCGAGTGCGACTGGATTTGAGACAGCTCTGGCTTCGGGAACATTGTGTGTCAGTTTGTCCTGCAGGTTTGGATCTGGGATGGGAGTTGCCCAGACTCCGCCTCTTTGAGTTTCAAGACAACAACGAGTTGCCGGGACCAACAGCTAAATGACATTTACGCTTCAAACATGAAATGATGCTTTTGCGGCCTCCCTAGGCTTTGGGCTTTGCGGGGACATGCCACATGCTCTCGACTCCTTACGGCCTCCCCATGCTTTACGGGGACATGCCAGAGTCGCAGCATTCTCAACCCTTTTCAAGCAGGGTCGTCTCACCGTTTCAGTTGGTGGTGGTGCAGCGAGACTTCCCTTTTTCCTGGCAGTCTTTCGGCGCTCCAGCAACAGCTTTGCTGCTCAGCTTCTTTGCTTTACACTGCTCAGCCGTTGCACCACCAGTCAACAGAACAGTCTCGCTGCGAGTTGGCTTTAGGTGGCTGGCTGTCGTAATAAAAGTCTTGTGAACGATACTTGTGTTTACTCAATGTTGTTTACATGCTTTTATTCGCAGCTTGCTGATCCCGCTGCTTCGTGGGATCAAGCACGACAGCCAGCTTAGCAACCATTCAGCTTAGCTTCATGCTTGCTTGAAGATTTTTGCCCGCCCACCACTCCCTGGGTTCACCTAAAGTGGTGATTCAGTTGTGTAGCTTCGCTGCTTAGGTTTCCTTCTCGAAAGGGGCTCCAGCAACAGCTTTGCTGCTCAGCTTCTTTGCTTCACACTGCTCAGCCGTTGCACCACCAGCCAAAAGAACAGTCTCGCTGTGAGTTCGCTTTAGGTAACTGGCTGTCGTAATGAAAGTCTGGTGAACGGTGGAAGAAAAGCAGATTTGCCTTGGAAGTCTGCATTGTGGTTAGGCAGAGACACGGAAGCCGACGAGATCATTGTTGCAACAGACGAAGGAGCATTAAAGGTCCGAACAGTTCGAAGAATTCCTCCGTCGCAACATTGGCAGCCAAATCGTGTCGTAGGTTTGAGAGCATTGCCTTGGAAGCCTAAAGCTGATGAGGATCAGACCGTTGAGTTTGTATTGCCTGCAAACTTGATGGTCACTGGAAGACTTAGGAACCCTCCTGGTTTGCCAGAGCCTGAATTGGTGGACCCAAAACCCTCAAAAGGTGATGCCCCTGACCCATTACTCACATTGGAAGACTTACCCAAACCTGATGATGACACATCTAGTTCCAAGCCTCCATTTCCTTCAGGAGTCGTTGGCCCGCAGAGAGTTCAGACCCGCAGAGAGTTCAGATGAAAGAGCATCGAAAGTTCAACGAATTGATCCCGACGCCCCAGTGGCGGAGCCTTCCCCAAAGGCTGCTCAGATAGGAGTAGCTCAAGCCTTTACGAAAACTGGCGAAACTATTCCTGTTCATGTGAACTATGACCAAGAAGAGTACAGAGAAGAATTGAAACTCTCGGAGCCTGTGATTTGGGATGTCACGAAAAAGTATCCTGAATTGGCCCAAAAGAAAGGCATGGATAAGGAGATGGGCTCCATGAAGGATTTTTCAGTCTTACACCGAAGTTCCCATTGAAGAATGCACCGAAGAACAGATACGAAATGCCATTGGTGTTCGTTGGGTGAAGCGGTGGAAGACTGACACGGAACTGCGCATGAGATTAGTAGTTCAGGGCTGTTACCAAGATTCTGCAAAGCTCGATGCAGACTCATTGTTCGCTAGCACGCCCTCGCTTGTGACGATGAGACTTCTCTTGGTATTGGCATTGGCACGCAACTGGTGCATTAACCTGGCAGACATCTCAACTGCTTTCTTTCATGCCGCTATTGGTGCGGATGAGGAAGTTTTCGTGATTCCTCCCAAGGAGTAGTACCCTACGCAGAATTGCCTCTGGAGGTTAAACCGAGCGATGTATGGCTTGAAACAGAGCCCGAGATTGTGGTAAGAGCATTTCGCTAAGACTATGCACAAGCTAGGATTCCGCAGGTGCAAGTCCGATAGCAACTTGTACTGTCACTCTTCTTGTGAGTTGTACGTTTTGGCTTACGTAGATGATCTGACGATTGTTGGTGAGCCCCAGCAGGCCAAGGCATTCATTGAGGCCCTTAATCAAGAACTCCTTGTCAAAATCACCGGAACATTGGAAGAAGGGACTGAACATTCCTTCTTGGGTCGTCGCTTGCGACACAGCGGTGATTCCATTGACATATTCATGTCTCAGCAGTATGTGGATGAGATTCTGCAACTGTATGGCATGAAGTCAAGTTCTAACATTGTTAGTACTACAGGCACGTCGTCGTTGAAACGACTTCAGGATTCGGACACGCCATTGGACAAGGAGGAACATGCCAAGTTCAGAACAGCGGTTGGCAAACTGCTGTGGCTTGCGTTTGTTCGTCCGGATTGTTCCTACGATGTCAAGGAATTGAGTCGTGACGTGAAAGGACCCACATTGGAGAGCTTAGCAAAGCTCAAACACCTACTGAGGTACTTGAACGGCACGCGCCTCACAGTGCTTCGATTGCGCCCCACTATCATGCTGTCCGATTGGAAAACCAGCCTTGATGTGATGGTTTATGTTGACAGCGATTGGGCTGGATGCCCCAAAACGCGTAAGTCTACTAGCGGCAGCATTGTTCAGCTTTTAGGTGCATCTGTGGTACACACTTCGCGTACACAAGCAACTGTCGCATTGTCTTCCGGAGAGGCAGAGCTTTTCGCGATTGGTCAGGGCATCAATGAAGCTCTGTACGTGAAGTCGATTGTCTTGGAAGCGGAGTTTGCGCGTGGAGTGCGGATTGTTGCGTACACTGACAGCACAGCTGGCAAATCAATTGCTAGCCGCTTTGGTACTGGTAAGCGCACCAAGCATGTGGAATTGCGGTACCTGTATATGCAAAACCTCATTGCCGCCGGCATGCTTCAGGTGCGTAAAATCGGCACCAAGGACAATTGCGCCGATGTGCTTACTAAGTACGTTGCGTCTGACATTCTTCAGACATTGGCGTCGCGTTTAGGATTGGTTACCAACCTCTTTCGCGTTTGACTGGAGTACTGTCATTGTTTTCAGCCTCCCTCCCGCCCTTTTTGCCTTGTTCAAACTAAAAGTGCGTTTCATCACCTTCCGCCGCCGCCCCGCCGCCGCCTTGCATTGCGGTCGCTATTCACTGCCGTGCATTTCCGTTTGAGGGACCGAGAGATTGTGCAACATGTGCTGTCATTGCATGGAGCAAGTGCAGTGTGCAGCTGTGTGAATTGTGTGCAATCAGTTCATGTCATTGCGGTCACAGTGCAGTGATGTTGCGGTTGCGTTTGTGTGTATTGTTGTAGTGTTTTATTTTATATGCTTCGCATTGCTTTGCACAAACGAAGGTCACAACGATTGCAAACGGAACTTTGAGACTCTGTCCATTGATCCATGTACATATTGTTTGAAAGCGACCAAGCAGGTAGATTGAACGGAATCTGTTTTGTAGTCTCCATTTTCTTCCTTTCTCGCACTCTCTCAATTTTTCCCTGAATGGATTTTCCGCCAAGTTTTCCATTGAAGGCATTTAAGCCTGAAGATTGCGCTCACAACTGAGTGCGTGAGCCATTTGAAGTGATCTCGGGATTGCAAGCAGTGTTGTGCTTTTCTGTACTGTGCGAATTGACCTCGAGTCTCCTTTTGCACAACTGCGTTCTGTTTGCAATTGTCAACGGGCATTGCCCTGCGAAGCCATGGCGTCCGAGCCAGCAGCAGAGCCCACTCCCATTGGCTCCAACCGCTGGGGTCGCGCATCAAGATTGCGCACGCAAGCATTGCAACAAAGCAATTGCGAGCCTCCTGCAAGTAGTGTTGCTGGCATGGCGAACATGGCGACAGATGCTCGTGACATGGCATCCATTGTCACGCAGAGTGACACCGCATTCGGATTGCGGCTGACGAAAGCAAGGGCATATTGCTTGCGCTGTGCGTCAAGTACATTGCCGAGACTGGTGCGAGTGGATTGGCAATGTTCCACCTACTGCTGTCGATTGTGTTGGCAGCTCTCCCACAAGAGGTGGAAATTGGCGCCATTCTGGATGGCACGAGCGAGATTGGCATCTTGCAGATGGCCAACATGCTGGAGGCCATTGAAAAGGCTATTGAGCGACTGTCTTTGGCGATTGCAGAGGCAAGCGATGGTCTGCAAACCATTGGGACGCCGCTCGAGCCCCTTCAACTTCTCAAGAATGCCTATGTGAGAAGTGCATTGCCGACGAGATTGGCCTACTGCCACATCACTCTGCGAATCTGGCAATTGGCAATGGAAGAAGTCAATTCGCACGTCAGTATGAACGAATTGATCGGGGATTCGCCGCTTGGCATGGTTGGACACATTGCCTACGCCAAGGCATTGTGTTATGACTGCATTGTTCACAAGACGCCGCAGCCTGTGGACATTGATGCACTTGAGAACATATGGTTGATTGTGGCATTGCCCATGACGATGATCAACGCTCTGATTGATGACACAGAGATCGATTGGGCCACTGTCTTGCCCTGTGGTCAAATCAACCGTGGATTCTCGATTGAATCTGCGCTTCTGAAGTTGTCTCATTGGGCACGCCATGGACATCTTGAGACCTATTGGTCAGAGCCCATTGGTCTGATTGCATGGCGACCAACCAAAGCGCAATTGGCCCCTCAGCCGAAACCCGAAGGGAAAGAAGGGTTGACCAACTGGCATAACCAGTCCTATGTGGCATCCTCTACCCTGACGATTGAGGAAGTGCCACTGGCATTGACCATCCAGCAAAAGCTTTCTGCTGTCGTGCTGGGATTGAGCACCAATTGGAATCACTGACATGGGGCATGTCTGGCGATTGTCTGGTTGGTGGAGATTGTGCCTTTTTCAGGCACATTGTGGTCCCAAAGTCATTGGCCACCTGCTACGGAGGCTTTCAGGCGCAAGTGAATGCCCATTGCGAAGAGGTCCCCTGCGTTGTGGATGATGGCACCCACGGGGACATTGATCCTAGGCATCACTCTGAGCCCACGAGATTGCAGCAGCCCATTCGGCGCATCTGTGGCTGCCTGCCAGCACGGTCTGGATGTCAGCAAATCCTGGATGTTCTGGTCCAATCGCCCAGTTGTTTCAGCTTTGGCCTCGGTTTGCCCCCACATCAAGCCTGGCTGGTAAGCGGAACCCTGACGGCAGTTTCTGCACTCGTGATACTGCCTGCTATCCGCCCTCGCTTGCGCAAGCTATTGCAGCACTGTGTGTCCCATTTCTTTCTGTGCTGGACCGCGTGTTCACCGTAGAGTCCTGGTTGTCCCTCTTACCGGCACGTGGTCCCAGTTAATCTCCCAATCCAGGATGGCGCCGGCACAAATAGCACCGCCTGCCATGCCAATCCTCAGCATGATGATATCTTCAAGGCTCTCCGTCATACATGGTCAAGCCGACTCTCCGCTTCCGGCCTCGTGCCCAAGATTGTCACCGCGCTGTCTTCTGGCAACAAGACCCCTCCTCTGACGCAAAAGGAACTACAACCGTTCCTGGAAGATATCCGCCTCTTCTTGCACGTCACCTGCGATGTCACATGGCAATCCCTCATGCAAGTGGATGAGGGCCAGCCGTGCCGCCTCAACCTTTGGCATGCCTCTCGCTCATCTCTAAGGACCCTTCTTCCGTCACTTGCGTCAAGGTGTCCCGCTGGGCTTCGCCGCTCCTACTCCCCCGTGTCCAGTCATGCACGCCAGTACGGCCTCCGACTTGGACCCGCCTCCGCGACAACACTGCGAGTCAGAAAGGAAGTCTGCGCTGGAGAACCCCGACGACCTGCTAGCTGGATACTGAACTCCTCAGATCTTACTCCCATACAGCGGTGGGGAAACTCGGAGTCGTCAACTCCGACTCCCGACCGCCCAGACTGGCTGTTGACAGCTCTATTTCCGGAGTCACAGCCCGCACTTTCTTACCGAGCAGATCCGCAAATCCGACTCTCGGACGTACGCCGTTGCCTTCCGCTCTCGGACTCTCTGGAAAGATGCTGCACACTGGTGCTCGATGTGAGTAAGGCGCACCGGCGCCTTGAGATACTGCCTGCAGACCAGGGCCTCCTTTGCTTCCGACATCGGGGCCGCCTTTATCAGTGCCTCACACTCAACTTTGGTCCCCGCGCTTGTCCGCCTGACTCACCGCTTCTGGTGGGTGTCCCACTCTGCACTGATTTACGTGGACGATATACTTGGTCTGCTTGAGAAATCATCCGCCCCGCTCATGGCCAGTCTGCTGGTGGTCCTGCTTCAAATCCTTCGAGTTCCGATGAGCTGGCACAAACAAAGCCAAACTCTCAGCCCGGGTTGTCTGGATCGGTTGGCAGCGCTTGCTGGATCTTCTCCAGCAGTGTTGCGGCTTGCATAAGCTCTCTCTAGCCACGGGGGAAGTTACCGTAAAAGACCGAAACGCGGCAAGCAACCCACAGCCCTACAAGACTCACACTCAAGCCCACGCTTCTCACTTTTGCATGCTCGCATACTCCGGTCTTGAGCCAACGTACCAAACAACGTGAAACTCAGTCAAAGCTGGTCAAACCTCACGGTACTTCGGGAAAACACTGGAAAAAACTCCCCAGGCCCTAGGCTCTAAAAGCTGAGGCGACCTACTCTCTGCTCCGGGAAGACACTGGAAAACACTCCCTAAGCTCTAAAAGCTGAGGAGACCTACTCTCTAAAGACGCTGGCAGCCCAAGGCCCACATAGAACCTTTGGTCTTTTACTCCCCCTCTGGGCATTGAGGCTGTCACGGCCCCGTCGAAGTGTAGGGGTAACAAAGATGGCACTTGCGCTTGCCCGTACGCTGGCTGTTACTTCGCCCCCTTTGCGCCCTTGAGGTTATACTCTTCCATGACGTCATCAAGATATCCCGGATCCATTCCAGACTTCTCGGCCCCTAGTTTCTCGACCATCTCATACATCAAGTCAGTGTCCTCGCAGGACAGCAGAATGTCGTCGACATAGGCCAACAGAAGCACCCTTTTGCATCGATACTCACCCGCGAACAAACAGGGTTCAGTTGGGCAAGACTTGAGCGAGAACAGACGCTCCAGAAGCCCCGAAAGGTGCTTGGTCCAGTGAAGAGCGGGCGGACCTAAGGCCGTATAGTGCCTTTTTGAGGCGGAGATACAGTTTCTCACCCCCCAAACCCCGGCATCCCTCAGGCATGCTGACGACGACATCTTCCCCTTGGAGCTTTGCGAAGAGGAAAGCAGTGGACACGTCAAGTCCCAGCATGTTGTGCCCCTTTGCTCCTGCCATTGCAAGGAACACTCGTAAGCTTTCCGCAGACGCGGTCGGTGAGGAGATCCCCAGCTGAGCTGCGGTTGGGCCCGTGCTGTAATCCCTCGCCACAATTCTGCAGCGCACAAGCTTCGTCTCCTTTCCATCGACCCTTTCAGTCTTGTCAGAGACTACCCAGCGAGTCGAGATGACCTTTCGCCTGGGATCGATGGTCCACATCAGGTTTTGTACCGCGAGGCTCTCAAGAGCATTCAGCTCCTTGATCATCCCTTGATAAGTGAGCCCCAAATCAAGCTCAACTTCGGATACGTCGTCCCTCAAAACAATCGGCTTCTGAACCGTCACGAGTCCCCACCGAGCTCAACAACAACCTCCCCCTCTGACCACGGTCCTTGCACTGTTCCCAATGGCCTCTCGGTGCTGGACCCTGGAAACCATATCGTCCGCAGTCGCCCACGATCAACGTCCATAAGATCCTCCCCCCCTCTGGGCCCTCGGAGTCGCTCTCTCGTGGCTGCGACTCTGGCTCCTCACTGGAACCCCCAGGCTCATAGCCCTCCCAGTTGTCCATTAGCTCACTCAGACCCCCAGGCCCTTCACCAACATCATCACGCACGTCCTCCGGCAACTCAACGCACCCTTCAAGACCCTCAAAACCTTGCTCACCAAGATCTTGCACTTCACCCTGATCCCTTTCAACAACTGCATTCGGATCAAAGCTACCCCTGATGAACTCGGCATAACGGGCCCTGCAACGTGCAGTGTGAATCAACTTGTCATACCCAACACCACGTGCCTTGCTCGACCACCCAGTCTCGCGGCAGTCCCTTAGTGTTGGCATTGGGCAACGGCAAATGCTGGAGATTCTCTAACGGAACATCTGGGACCTCCGGTGGTGGATCCCTTCCAAGCAGAAGACGACAAACCCCTCTCAAGAGCTTCAACTCATACTTCAACGGAACAACCATGCGAACCCTCGGACTCCGTACGATCTTGGTTTGACCGTCGTTGAGCAACAGTCTCACCCAGTGCGAAACCGACTTCAGCCCCCATGTAAGCCCCTTTTCCCACGCGTCCGTTCACAAGATGACTCACAGAAGGTGGCGGCACACACAAGACGGTCCCTCCGAACACATACGTTGGATGAGGCTTGATGCTTTGGTTCCGGCATCGTTGTTCAGGCGTAAGAGCTGAACCCTCGGTGATGTTGTATCTGTTGTGGGCGACACACAAATGCGACATCAAGTATGGAATTCCATCCCCTGCAACTGTGAGTCCAACCCTTTCAAGCGAAGACAACTGGGTCTCTGCAAGCTCCTTCAAGGTGCGGACAGCCCTCTCAGCTGTCGGCGCATGCCGATCCACTGGAACCTGCTCCACAATGGCATTAGGAAGCTCCTTGGCTAACTGCTGCAAAGCGGACACAAGCGCTGGTTCCCCGTCCGACCGCATGGTAATCACAGTCTCTTGCGACCCTACAATTCCAAGCGATCGACCCCAACGCACAAAGTCCGTGCACATGCTGTCCCTGTCAGGTCTCCACAGGTTTTTTCTCCATGCACTTCCGCAAGCCTTTCCCGACTACACGTTGTTTCCGAACCGTACATGGGAGCGGGTCGAGACTCGCCATGGATCAGGCCATGGGGTCAGCGGACACTGCTACTCTGATCACATCGTGTCACTGGCATGTGGTAGGGCGTGTTCAAAGCCACATGGGTGACTCGGAGATGACACCGAGTGCCGAGGGAGTATGCTGATGGCTTGTTCATATTGGCACTTCAATTGGCAACGTCAGCGCCCCACTGTCGCAGGTACTGCAAGGCAAATGTTCGCACCCAAGACGGACGCCGCCGCAGGACTGCTGCGAATAGGCATTACATGCAGCTGCACACTGCTTCAGAATTGCCATCGGATTGCAGGGTCCACACTCACGCTCCCAACTGATCACTCCACTCCGCTTCGAAGCTCTGGTTCAAAGGAGCACAATTGTCGTCTGCCTCTGCCACTCTCGGACACAAGGGGAACCCCCACCATGGCGGAGGAGGAAGAGAGCAGCCCAAATGAGCCCCACGAGCCGGTCGATGAAGATGACGATGATGCTGCCGGCACAATACGGGAGATCATGGACACCCCTACACCGAGAAGATCTCGAACAAGAACCCGATCTCCTGTGGCAGAGAGATCCTCCTCAGCGAAGGCCAGTGGAAGCGCTGTGACTCAAACACCGCGGCCAAGGCCAAGGCCGGTACGGAGGCGACAGCGAGTGGGCCTACGATGCTGCCAAAGTCCATGGGGGCGATACCGGGTAAACCAGCCGGACCCCCACCACCGACACCAGCAAACCAACCATGGATGGGTGGAGGATGCAGACCGCCGCTGGTGGTGGGAGGGCCGCCGCCACCCGCCCCAAAAAAGACCGCCAGTGTCGTGCTGCAGCAAGGGGTCTACACCGTTTCCCTCGATGCTTACCCGAAAGGCAGCGTGCCACATCAGGTTATGATACCACCGCAAGCACCGCCAGCGGCAAAAGGAGGGCCTAGCAGGCCAGGTGATGCGAGTACTCCGGCTGCATGGGACTAATCAGCCAGAGTCTGTGTTTTCAGTTCCAGTCTGCCTGTTGGAGCCAAAAGGGCGACCGCGGGCTGCCTCAAAGGGATTGCGCAACTGCGCCAAAACAAAACCAAAGATGGCAGACTAGTCATGAGGCACTGTCTTATGCCACTCTCGCACAGCCATGCACTCACGAGTGCGCTTGCAGGAAGACATCAAGCAATCAGCTGGGGACTTACGGCCCACCGCGCCCCGGTACCGGACTCCACGACGGGCAGTAGAAGGCACGCTCAGCCTGCTCACAGGGGTATCCGGCTGCCTGCCAGGGATTGCGACTGCTCAGTCTGCTGATGTGAATGCCAAGTCTGTCGTCTGCTGGACCGCTTTGGTGATTCCTGATATAATGTGGTTTGCTTGCTAAGTCCTAGGTACTGGTGAGCGCTTTCAATACGTGGCTTCTACATGCTGGCACTGTCAGTTGCAGGCTTCTTACAGTGTGGCTTTGCGATTCTTACAGTGAGGCTTTGTTTGGGAAGGAACCCAACGCTAACTCCACTGGCCGATCACCATGCAGCAGCCTGGGCACTGCGTGAGCGCTCTCAATACTGGCATCGACATGTTGGCACTGCTAGCTGCAGGACTCTTACAGTGTGGCCTTGCGACGGAGGCGCTGCTTGGCGCTACTCAAATGCGCCGCAGGCTATCGTTGCAACTGCGGCGATTCGGCCTATTGCTGAGTTTGCTCTGAGGTCGCTCTTGGCGGGCCCTAGAGGTTGATCAAGAAGCCCCCACTGGCTAACCACCATGGGGCATCGCGGGTTCACCCTTCCGTCCGGAAGGGTGTGCCCCAGTCACCTTGTCCTTTCCTGTGACCATTTGGTGGTTGAAATTTGCTGAGCCAGCATTATCGCTCTTGCTACGCTGACATATACGACTGCGGCTCGCCAAGAGCATGACCGACCGGCACTGTGCAAATGACCTTGAGATGGTGATTTTGACTTTCTGGCATATTTCGCATTTTGCGACCTCTCTACGAGCTTGGCGCTACAAGGATCTGCTCTTGGACTACATCGACGAGCTTGAGTTCTGAGCGCGTGGGGAGTTTCTTAGCTTTTTCGCCCCTTCTTTTTGGTTTCTTGGTCTGCTTTGCTGGGTTGCTTGGTGGTGTGTTGTTGTTGTTTGGCCGTTCTTTTGCCGTTTCCGCGATGATGGCGAGCTGTTTCACACCTAGTTGCGAGACCCGCAAGAACGGCCTACTGTGCTACTGATGTAGTAAAGTGGCGTCCGCCTTAAAAAACAAAACTTGCTCTTCGCTGTGGTTTGAGTTGGGGTTGTCCGAGGCTGCATTCGGACTTGGTAGCCACCATTTTTACCTGTGCAGCCCTTGAGAAAATGACGGTGAAACTTCTGCTTGTCGTTGCCAAAGCACAGGCAGGGCCAACAATCTATCGAGAGCACGAAGAGACTTGGCGCAGCTTCTGCCAATTGTTTGAGCCTGATCTGTGGTAGCCGAAAGCAGACGCTTGACGTCTTCACAAATACGTCTGAAGTAGGACACCAGCTGTGAGAGACTTC